TAAATTTTGGTCAATGACATGAGACAAAGTATATGTGAACTGCTGTATGAAAAGTGAATTTACTCTGTAAATCTTCACCCAAATCCTAATTAAAAAAAAAAAAGATAAGGACACACACACACAAAAAAAAACTTTTAGGTAACAGCATGGTAGATAATCTTTGGGATGTGGGGCTAGGCAAAGAGTTCTTAGACTGGACAGCAGAAGCATGATCCATAAGAGGAAAAACTGATAAATTGGATTTCCTAAAAACTGAAAACTCTTTCTCTTCAAAAAAGTCCTGTGAAAGGAATAAAATGGCAATCTACAGACTGGGGAAAAAATTATACAAAACATATCATACAAAAGGGTTAATACTTAGAACACTACATACATATAAAGGACTCTTAAAACAGTAAAACAGTAGCTTGCAATAGTAAAACAGCAAACAATTCTATTAGAACATCGACAAAAGACATGAACAGATATTTCACCAAAGACGATATACACATGACAAACAAGTGCATGCAAAGACATCCAACATCATTAGCCATGAGGAAAAAGCAAATTAAAATGACAAGGATGCACTACTACATATTTATAAGAATGAATAAAATAAAAAATGGTGACTACACCAAATGCTGGCGAGAATGTGGAGAAATGTGAAATGGTACAGCTACTCTGAAAAACAATTTGGCAGATTCTTTAAAAAAAAAACAAAAATTATACATACAACTATCTCATGACCCAACAACTGCACTCTTGGGCAATTATATAGATAAATGAAGATTTAAGTTCCCACGGAAACCTGTACATGAATGTCGACAGCACCTTCATTTGTAATAGCCCCAAACTGGAAACAATCCAGACGTCCTTCAACAGGTAAATGGTTGACTGTGGCCCAGCCATACCACAGAACACTACTCAGCAATAAAAAGGGACAAATGACTGATACATGCAACAACTTGGATGAACTGCCAGAGAATTATGCCAGTGTGTGTGTGTGGGGGGGGGGAAGCCAATCCAAAAGGATTCCATTTATATAGCATATGAGATATGACAAAATAATAGAAGTGGAGAACAGATTAGGGGTTACCAGGTGCTAAAGGGGGGAGGAGATGGGAAGTGAGGGAGCTATCAGAGGGTACCATAGTGATACTTGTGGTGATGGAAATGTTCTGTATCTTGACAGTAGTTATCAATGTCAGTATCTGGTTGTGACACTAAACTACAGTCTTGCAAGATGTCACCACTGTGGAAAACTGGGTAACGGACACATGGAATCTCTATTATATTGCATATGAATCTACAATTAGTTCAAAATAAAAAGTTCAATTAACAAAAAAAATTAGTTAAAAAATCTCAGAAGATAAGAGAATATAGGCATTTCCTATGCATTATAAAAAGCAGATATAAGTATCCCAACTTTGCAAAAATTGAAATGAATTTCAGATACCATTATTGGGTCAAATTTTATTTACAAATTAAGGAACTGAAGAGAAAGAAGGATGTTTCCATCCACAAAACCAATTCAGTTTCCTAGAGGGGAAAAAGAACAACTGAAGGGTATAGACAAAACTATGTATGTGAAATAAACCTCAGTTCTTAAAGTATTTAATTATAAATATTTAGATACCAATTTTTAGATATTTTAAATATTTAATTTTACGAAGGTATAAAGGTGCCAAAAAGAAATGCATTCCTCACTCCCAGGACCTGTTGCTGTGAAGTTCCCTCCAGCTCAGGGCAACCCCAGGGGAGTCAGAGCAGAGCTGTGCCCCTTGGGTTTTCGAGGGCTGCTCTTTCAGAAGTGTAATGCCAAGTCTTTCTTCCTGGGTGCTTCTGCGTAGACTCGAGCCTCCAACCTTTCAACTGAATGCATTAAACGTCTGCACCACCCAGGGACTCTGATTCCTCTCTAATAGTCTTCAAAATGATATCTGGATCCTCAGAGAAACTATGACAATTTTAATGTAGAGGTTTGCCTCATAGGAGAGCTTATTCTGGAAGGATGGGACACTGTTGCAATTCAGAGGGAGGCAGGTAGAGAGGGAGGAGCTCAAGGTATTGGTGGTAGGAGAAACAGGCTAAGGGGAGACAGTGGGCCCAGCCCCAAACTAGCAGCTCTGACAGCCTCTTCCTCCACTCAAGTCCTACTTCTGGCTCCTTTATTGGACTTCAAGTAAATCACACAATCTCTGCGCCCTGATTTCCTTCTCCGTAGAGCACAGAGAATATTTTCCACCTGCTCATCCAACAGGATATTTCCAAGGACAAATATCTGCACAGCAGGGAAACGTTTGAAAGAAAGAGACCAAGAAACAGTCTCTGCAAATGTGGTTCATTTCAAATGTTTATTTTAAGTCCATTTTATGAGAAAACATGCATAATGGAAGATACAGGTTTTGAAGGTGACTGGAGAAAACAAAAGACAAAGTGAATGAGAAGATTTCAAGAGTCAACACCCCAGCTTACTCTCCCCATTGTCTTGTATTGAGGCTACTAAATTCAGTATGGCTAAACGGGTCCAACTCGACAGCAAATAACAACAACAACAAACTTACAGTCCCACTAGGAAAACAAGAAATAACCAACCAAGACCTCACCTACAAGGATGCGCATCCAGTAGGACCTGGGGAGTTGTCTTTATTACCTGACACTGAACAATGTAAAGAATATGGAAACAAGCAGTAACGCGCTCTTAACCATCAAGCGTGCCTGTCTGAAGTTGAATTTTAAACTCTTTGATTTTAAGAACCCCAATTCACATTCATCTTTGCACCTCCCATCATTCCTAACTTTGCACATAGTAGGCCCTTTGCAAATACCAAATTAAACTAATGTGCACAAGTATCGTCTATTCCCGCCAGTTGAAAGGAATATACTGAGTGTGTTCCAGAACCGAGGTGGACCTCATGATATTTATATAGCCACAGCCCCATAACTTATGGAACAATGTTTTCAATTTCTCAATTTACATGATTTCTTACCCTTCATCTCCCGCCATCTTTGTGGTAGAAATAATAAGCTGAACTATGTGACTGAAAATTGTTACTGATAATCTGAAAAACAGCTTTAAAAGAAAAATGCTGAGCCCAAAAGACATCAGCAAGATAGTGAGAAACTTTAACTGTGATTTACACCAGGTATGAGGGGCTGCATTCTGTCAATGAGCTTTTAGGTTTGAAAAGAGTAAGGTTGAGTTTTCTAAGCTTTACTCACCAGTGTCCAGTCTTGACTTGATATGTTGATATCTTGGGTTTTGCGGTATCCTTTTCGTCAGATACTAAAAAATAAGAAAATTCACAATTAATTGGGCTAATATAAGGATCTTCTTATTGTTGTTAGGTGCTGTCAAGTCAGCTCTGATTCATAGCAACCCTATGAACAAAAGAACAAAACATTGCCCAGTCCTGTGCCAGCCTCACAATCCTTGCTATTCCTGAGCCCACAGTTGTAGCCACTGTGTCAACCCATGCTGTTGAGGGCCTTCCCCTTTGTCGTTGACCCTCCACTTTACCAACGATGATCTCCTTCTCCAGGGAATGGTCTCTTCTGACAACATGACCCAAGTAGGTGAGACTAGGTTTGGCCATTCTCACTTCCAAGGAGCATTCTGGCTGCACTTCTTCCAGGGCAGATTTGTTAGTTCTTCTGGTAGCCCATGGTACTTTCAGTATTCTTTGCCAATGCCACAACTCGAACGCATCAACTCTTCTTTGGTCTTCCTTATTCATTGTCCAGCGTTCACAGGCATATGAGGCAACTGAAATATGTCTTGGACTAGATACACCTTATTCTTCAAAGAGATGTCTTTGCTCCTCAGCACTTTAAAGAGGTCTTTTGGAGCAGATTTGCCCAGTGCAATATGTCATCTGATTTCTTGACTGCTGCTTCCATTGGTGTTGATTGTGGAACCAAGTAATATGGAATCTTTGACAACTTCAACGTTTTCTCCATTTATTGTGATGCTGCTTACCAGTCCAGTTGTGAGGATTTTTGTTTTCTTTATGTTGAGATGTAATCCATATTGCTGACTGGTCTTCAATCTTCATTAGTAAATGCTTCAAGTCATCTTCATTTTCACCAAGCAAAGTTCTGTCATCTGTATATCACAGGTTGTTAATGATTGTTAATCCAATCCTGATGCCATGCTCTTTGTCATATAGTCCAGCTTCTCGGAGTATTTGCTCAGCATACAGATTGAATAAGTATGGTGAAAGGATACAACCTTGATGCACACCCTTCCTGAATCTAAACCACGTAGTATCTCCTTGCTCTGTTCGAATGACAGTTTCCTGGTCCATGTATAGGTTCCTCATGAGCACAGTTAAGTGCTCTGGAATTCCCACTCTTCTCAGTGTTATCCATAATTTGTTATGATCCACACAGTTGAATGTTTTTGCATAGTCAATGAAACACAAGTAAACATCTTTCTTGTATTCTTTGCTTTGAGCCAAGATCTATCTGGCATCAGCAATGATATCCCTCATTCCATGTCCTCTTCTGAATCCAGCTTACATTTCTGGAAGTTCTCTGTCAATATACTGCTTCAACTGTTTTTTTTTTTTTTTTTTTTACCCAACAGGAGATTTTATTAAGGAGGCGAAAGGGTGCCTGCACTGAGGAAGGACAGAAGAAGAAGAGGAGAAGGAGGAAGAAGAGGAGAAGAGGAAGAGAAGAAGAAAGAAAGAGGAAGAAGGGAAGAAGAGAAGAAGAGAGAGAGGAAGAAGAGACTTCAACTGTTTTTGACATCAACTCCATGGTGGAATCTACTAGAGCAGCTAAGTAGCTGCTTCAGGGATGTGATCTCCTTCCAGTATAAGACGACTGCTTTGAGAAAGGTCTCTAAGTTTTTTGGCATGCTTGGACCCTGCATGTAGCTGAGTCTTCATTCAGCAATCGGTCATGCTGGCTCTGTTGACCTTGAGACTGTTTTCGGACTTAAATCAGTGGCCTGCCATGTTGTGTGGTAATCTTGGGACTGTGCCATAGTACTTGTCAACCTTGGGTTTGTCAGTCTCAGCAGACAGCAGCTGCTTGAGTTACGAGAAGCCTCCAGCTTCAGTGGGCTAGGAGCAAGAGGCAGAGCTGAAGCCAAGGTCAAGGGGTCTTCATCAGCCCCTAAAGCTGGCACTTTGAACTCAGACTTCTATTCTCCAAAACTATAAGAGAACAAATCCCTGTTTGTTAAAGCCGTTCACTTATGGTATTTTGTTAGAGCGGCACTAGAGAACCATACAGGTGGCAAAGTTGGGAAAGAGTCAGATACTTAAAACAATGGAAGGAATGCTAAATCTCATAGCATTTAAAGATGGAAGGAGCTGTGGAAGGTCTTTCAACACAGGACTTCTCTCTACAGCACCCCCTACACCTGGGAAAGGTTTCTTGTTTCTGTCAAAATACTTCCACATTTTGTGTTAGCACTATGTGATTAGAGAAAAAAGTCCTAAAAATCATTTATTGAGGCAAAATTGGTCTCCCTCTCATGCCCATCCAATCCATCATTGCAACTCAGAATAAGTTATTTCCCTCTGCCTCAAGAAATCTGTTAAGATAACGAATTTTAAATTTTACTCTTTGTATGATGGTTTCTATGGAGCCCTGGTGGTACTCAGGTGCTAACTGAAAGGTCACTGGTTCAAACCCACCAGCCGCTCCATGGGAGAAAGAAGTGCCAGTTCTTTTCTGTCCTATAGGGTCACTATGAATGAGAATCAACTCAATGACAACGGGTTTGGGTAATGATGGTTTTTATCATCACCCGTAGATTTTACCAACCTCTCCTCTAGTAAATGCTACGTGGAATCCAGGCCTGACATGCTGTCCAGGTGTTGTCTAGTGGGACCTGGCTGGGCAGGCCTCTCTGGCCACTCCTCTGGACCTGTTGGTTGTGCTCATGGAAGCCAAGGCTCATCACAGGCTTGGAGTAAGTTATGGTCAGTGAAATGCCCGTTTTGTACTTTGGTAGCTAACTCTTTGCATCCAAGCACAAGATACTCACTCATGTTAAATGTTAGTAGTGTTTGTGAAAGTCATTAACTGAGGCACTGAGGCTAATGAACAAAAAGACATTACAAAATGTAACTAACTTTTCTGCTCAGGCCTTTTCCTGGCCTGAAAGTACAAAACCTACCAGCTGCTCCACGGGAGAAAGATAAGGCAATCTGCTTCCATAATGATTTACAGCTTTGGAAAGCCCCCGGGGCAGTTCTACTCTGTCCTACTGGGTCACTATGAGTCAGAATCAACTTGATGGCAGTGGGTCTGGTGTTTTTTTTTGAAATAAATATGAAAAATTTTATGTTCAGTAATGGGTAGCCATGGAATATGAAATTGTAACTGGCTAATTCCTTTCCAGGCAGTCCCTGCTGTTGCTATTAGGTACTGGTGAGTTAGATCCAACTCATAGCAACCCTGTCTACAACAGAACAAAAACAATGTCCTGTCCTGTGCCAGCCTCACAATCTTGACACGCTGGAGCCTACTGTCACAGTCACTGCGTCAATCCATATCGTTGAGGGTCTTCCCCATTTTTGCTGACCCTCTACTTTACCAAGCATTATATCCTTCTCCAGGGATGACTCCCCTCCGACAACATGACCAAAGTATGAAAGACAAAGTCTGGCCATTCTCACTTCTAAGGGGCATTCTGGCTGTACTTCCTCCCAAACCAATTTGTTGTTCTTTTAGCAGTCCACTGCTAACCAGTAAGCTGGTGGTTCAAACCCACCAGCCACTCCTTGGAAGGAAGGTTGGGCAATCTACTTCTGTAGTGATATTGCCTCAGAAACCCAAGGAGGAGTCCCTATGAGTCGGATCTGACTTGATGGCAGTGAGTTTGGTTTTGGTTTGAGTACATTCAACATTCTTCTCCAACACCACAATTCAAATGCATCAATTCTTCTGCAGTCTTTCATGTTCACTGTCCAGCTCTCACCTGTACATGAGGCTACTAAAGATACCATGGCTTGGGTCAGGTGCACCTTAGTATTCAGAGTAACATCTTTGCTTTTTAACACTTTAAATAAGTCTTTTGCAGATTTGTCCAATGCAATACATGTTCTGATTTCTTGACTGCTGCTTCCATGGGTGTTGATTATGGATACAGGTAAAAAGAAATCACTGACTTCAATCTTTTCTCCATTTATCATGATGTTGCTTATTGGTTCAGTTGTAAGGATTTCTGTTTTCTTTATGTTGAGGTGTAATCTATACTGAAGACTGTAGTCTTTGATCTTCATCAGTTAAGTTCAAGTCTTCTTTACTCTCAGCAAGGAGGGCTGTGTCATCTGCATATTGCAAGTTGTTAATGAGTCTCCCTCCAATCCTGATGCTGTGTCCTTCTTCATATAATCCAGCTTCTCAGATTATTTGCTCAGCAGACAGACTGAATAAGTGTGGTGAAAGGATACAACTCTGATGCACACCCTTCCTGATTTTCAACCTTGCAGTGTCCCCTTGTTCTGTTCAAACGACAGCCTCTTGGCCTAATGCACAGGTTCCTCATGAGCAAATGTAAGTGTTCTGCAATTCCCATTCTTCACAGTGTTATCCGTAATTTGTCATGATCCATACAGTCCAATGCCTTTCTGCAGTCAATAAAACACAGGTAAACATCTTTCTGGTATTCTCTGCTTTCAGCCAAGATCCATCTGACATCAGCAATGACATCCCTAGTTCCACATCCTCTCTGAATCTGGCTTGAATATCTGGCAGTTCCCTGTCAATATACTGCTGCAACTGTTTTTAAACTATCTTCAGCAAAAAGTCAGTTTGGGGATGACGCAAATAGTTAAACACTTGACCGTTACCCAGAAAGCTGGTGGTTGGAACCCATCCAGAGATGCCTACAGAAAACAGCTTCTAAAAGGTCACAGACTTGAAGACTCTGCTACTGTGCCCACATGAGGCCACCATGAGTCTGAGCAGCCTCAAAGGCAGCTAACCACACCACCACCTTTCCAGCTTCATCTCTGCTTTCATGTTGAGGTTTCCAAGAATGTCCTTCCCACGTGCCACACTCATTCAGGTCTTGACAAATGTCTGCCTAGAATGCTTTTCTCAACATGTCCTTGGGTAAAACGGTATTTCCTCTGTAAAGCTGTCCTGGGCAGAATTAGGTACTTCCTCTCACTGGGCCCAGTAATACCAATGCCCTGTCCCATTGTTTACAACTCAACCTTCTTCCTACTCTAGGATTTCTTTGAAGGCAAGGACAATAACTTCCTTCTATTTGTATTCCTCCAAGACCTAGCACAGAGCAGATACTTGAAAATTTCAGGC